CTCATATCATTGTCAAACCCAGGGGTGGAATTATTATCCGGGATCCGAGAACCGATCAGTTATCCGTTCGGAATCGCTCCGAAAGTTAGAATATCCGGGGAGCCCGAATCCGGATAAGGATAATAAAATCTAGGACTGTGAAAAAAGGATCCCGATCCGGATAACAAAATTTTAAGGTCTGGATATCCGGATCCGGTTAACAAAATTTTAAAGTCTGGATATCCGGATCCGAACACATTAAATATATTAAAACATATATATTATATATCTATTAAGCTAATTTTATATAAATAAATATATATAAAAATTGATTTTAGTTTTTTTATAATAAATTATATTAATAATGAAAAATATCATTTAAAATATTAATTAATAATTTTTAAAAATATATTTTTATTTATTTATKAATTATTTTAATTATTTTTAATATTAATTATCCGGATCCGAATATCTTTTTTTTGCCGGATATCCGGTGTCCGGATATCCGGAGGTCCCGATTCCGGATAGTTTTTTTTCATGGATTCGACGATTCCGGATCCGGATCCGGATACCTTGAAATTTTAGGATATCTAGATTTGTTCCACCCTAGTCAAATCTATTCAGTTGTTCAACAAAAAAAAGAAAGTCAAACCTATTCAAACAAACCAATTAACAGATAAGGACGAATTTTTTTCTTTTTACTTTAGTTTTCAATATTGAGAAAGTTTATTAGTTCACGTTTCATGAATATAATCCATTGTATAATGGTAAATACAAAATTCTATACAGACAAAAAGAAGAAAATTTAAATATTTCTTTCTTTCTTTCTTTAACTAGCAAATTTTAAACTAATAAATACTGGTTTTTCTAATAATGTGATTTAGACACGGCATTAATAATACAAATCCAGAAATTAACAGTTCTAATTGTAGACCAAACATTTTACTTTTGACATTTGTCCCAATCCTCTCTCTTCTTCCAGCGAAGCAGGAAAACATAAATCCATCTCTCTTCTGTGATTTTTTTTTTGTTTTGTAATTATTTTTTACATTTTTAAAAGTTTCCGACATTATATAAAGAGACATTTGCCCTTTCTCGTGCCATCGAAATCTCCAAAATAAAAATAAAAAATGGCGAGCTCCGATGCACTCTTACCAATCTTGGCCAGAGAAGAAGAACCATTATCATCTTCCTACACACAATTACCCGACGGGTCAAGATCCGACCCGAGTCTCCGTAGACGACCCTTTAAAGGTCTCCTCGCCGTCTCATTCGGGCTTTTGTTTATTGCCTTTTACGGGGCCCTCATAGCCACACACGACGGATCTAGATCCAACCACCTTAAAACCGATGAAAAAGCCACGACGCCGTCACGTGCACGTCTCGCTGGTGTGTCGGAGAAAAGCAATGAGCGGTTTTGGAAACTTTCCGGTGACGGGAGCACGACGGCGTTCGCTTGGAATAACAGTATGTTGTCGTGGCAACGAACGGCGTTCCATTTTCAGCCTGAACAGAATTGGATGAACGGTACGGGAAAAAGTTTAATAATTAATTTAATTTATTGGTTTTTAATTGTTTGTTAATTTCGTTTTAGAAAATACACCAAAAGAGGAAAAAAGTATTTCCTCTTTTTGTTACAAAATTCTCAAAAGAATATTCATTCTTCCTTTTCATGTATATTGTTTTTCCATATTCTGGGAGATAATGTTGAAAGTTATATTCAAACTTCCAAATCACACGACAGTGATTGATTCATTCAAATCAAAGTGAATTTTAATCAAAAGAGCATTGTATGTATAGTTTCTCTGATCTTGCGATGATTTAAATACATATACAATTCTACTAATCAGTCTTAATATTTTTGTTTCTTTTTTTTATTCAATATGGTGTTGCTCAATGGCAAATTTGGACTTTTCTTTCTGCAGATCCTAATGGTAAGTTTTACTTCCCTTCTGA